TGTCAAGGGCTGTCCATTGGCCAGTGTACCTCAGGGACCCCTGAGGCATGAACTTTTCTTGGACACCTCCCCAGTGATCCTGATATCTGTCACAGGCAAGGCCCTGCCCGCCTCAATCGGAGCCTTCTCAAAGTTACCGATGCGGCTTCCTTGGGCTCCCACTGGGAGTCTCCTCAGCAGGGAGTGGCCTCCCAACCTGTGCATTGCCCTGGCTTATTGACAGTGACGGGGAGACGTTCTCCCAGGCAGGAAATCCCCAAAGCCTGACCAGGGATCCATCCCCTTTCTGCAGGGTTCTAGACTGCCTTTGACCTCTTGGAGTCCAAGTCATCCTCTGCCGTTGTTGGCCAAGAAGCATGGTCATGGAAATCAGTATTAGCCGATTTCCAGGAGGTGCAAAGATGCCGTGAAATCAGGCCCTGAGTCTTCCCCGCCAAGTTCAAGATACCAAGCGAGGACTGGCTGGCCGCTCCCTCTGGTCCTGGGGAGGGAGAGGGTCAAATTGGAAGCAAAGGGGACAGAGAGATGAAGAGACTTATCAACTTTGGATGGAAAAGATTTGTTTCTTTTTCTTGGCTTCAGCGGGGGTACAAGGGCTAGCATGTCAACACAGGAAGGCAAAACTAGGGCCAGTGGATGGAAATGAATGGGTAGCCAATTTCAGCTTAAGATAGGGAAGCCCCTCCTAAGAGTCCAAGGCCTCCAGCCATGCCAAGGGCTGGCTGGGTATTGTTCTACTGGAGGCTGAATGACCACCTGGTGGATGGGTGCCTGACCCAAAGACCCTCCCAGCCTGGAGACCTAAATGCATGTAAAAACTCAGAACCCAGCCTCTTCTTGGTCAGTCTTTTCCCATTTCTGACTGGGACAGCTTCCTTCCATTGCAGACATGCCCACCAAGTAGGAGTATCTGAGCCTGGCCCTTGTCTGTTTCCTCCAACAAAATAGATGCCCTGTGGGTTACTTTCTCTCTTGAGTTGGAACTGATAGCCATTTCCTGACCCAGCTAGAAAATATGTTGCACTTGATAGACATAGTGGGTGAGGCCTGAGAAGTGTGGTCTTAGTGCTTATCTATCCAGGACCCAAAGTCAGCTGAGTCCATCCATTATCATCATGAAAGGTTCAGTCCAGAACACACACCCCCACCTCTACTCCCCACACTCTCGAGTGCTTCAAAGGTCACCAACTCTGTGGGTTTGGTTTCAAATGCTATCAAATGAACACTAGCATTCCCCACCCCCACCCCCACCCCCACACTGACATACTCTGTACCTTCTCTCCAATGAGGTAGCGACTGGAAACTCAACCAATAAAAAGATTTCACTCCCTGGAAGCCTTCTGTTCTGGGGAGGGCTCTTGCTCACCTATAGCCATGTAATGGGACCGCCATGGTTCTTCATAAAGGGATGGTTGTGTGGGGGACAGAAGGATTCTGGGAGTGGATCAAGCCATTGGGTGGGACTGCAAAGTACTTAAAAGGAGGAGACCTGACTCGAGGTAATTGGTGCTGGGACTTAGCTGGTTCCACTTTGCTTCATCTCAAAAATCACATAGCGTGAACATCTTCTCAGGGGAATGCGTTGTTATGATTCACTGAGTTGCCATATATATCACATTTCAAATGCCAAGTTTCCAAACAACCAAATGCAACCAGATGCTGAACAAATTTTGATCTGTCTTTGAAGATACTTTGTGATCAATCCAAAGATTTGGGGTTCTCTTCCTAAATGTTGATTCTAGTTGGGTAGGAAAACACCAGGAGGTGGGAAGGGAAATTGACTTGAATCTTTCTAAACCTCCAACATACTCTAGAAGTTGCTCTTTTGAATAAATCTTCCTCATCTCTTTTTCTCTTGAAGTTGAGTGCCAGAGAAGATAATTCCAGCCTTTAGAGCTTGACGGCTGTTTAGAAACTGAAGAAAGCGAAGACTGTACTCTTTCCTTGTGTTCTGTGATTGAGGTGATTCTTGGGAGGAAAAAGATGAATGAATGGTTTGCCTTCCGTATCTGGAAGTAGGAAGGTTTGCATCGACCTCAGTTCTGTTCTGTGCTGACCACAAGGTTGATTAATTTTGGATGTCAAATCCCAGACTCTCGCTAAATGGGGGACTGGGAAATGTTTCGCACGTTTAGAAGAAATCCCAGCTATGGAGAAAAGGCAGACTTGTACAATTGGAGAGTTGAGACTGGGGAGTGTTAATTTGGAAAGACTTCTCTGGGCTGGGGTCCTCTTCTTCATTCCTCTGAGTTGTTTGTTAGTAACATCATGGCTGGGCTCATGGAGATCACAGAGTGTCCTCACAGCTCAGGGAGACCAGCACTCACGCTGGATGCTGCCAAGTACACAGATGCGTTGGGGCTAAGATCCTGGACAAAAGTTCTGGGACCTGAGCGCCCTAAATCATGGAAGTCCCACACCCTCAGGGTGGAGCTTTTGACTCGCTTCTCTGAACTGCGGGAAGCAGCCAGAGCTAGTGTTTGCATTCCCCTCCTCCTTGTTCTTACCCCCACTGGGGTCTGTGCTACATCTTGTGGCCACAATGGATTATTTCCTGGACTCGAGCGGTCCCCCTTGTAAGGTCCCGCCTCCTCCAAGGCCGAGTAGAACAGAGTGCACAGGGGCCTGTGCAGAGGGGCGGGATGTATGCACGAGGTATTATGCCTGGGGCGCCACGCATGTAGATTTGCAATGCTGCTGGCCACCGTGACTGCCACCACTGCCATTTCGTACTGGAATTGGCATTTGTGTGTCTTTTTTTTTTTTTAGGGGGTGAGAGTGGGGATAGCAGTAATAATTGCTTATTAAGGAAAACTTGGAAAGTACAGAAAATTACAAAGTAGCTCCACCAATATGGTAATCACTGTGAAAACATTAGTATATTTCCTGCAAGCAGTTTACCGAGGCTTGTTGTGAAAGCATGATTGGAACCCTAGTATAAAGCGCTTTCAATCCTATTGTCCTCACTCTGCACTATCTCAGGACCATTTTCTGTCATGAAAGATTCTCTGAAAACACTTTTCTATAGATGAGTAACATTCCATTGTACGAATACTCTACGGTTTACAAAATCATTTCTCTAGTGTTAGACGTGTAGATGTGTTTCCTTGTGCACTATTATAAACAGTGTTACAGGCAGCATGGTGGTATGCAGAGTTTGCATACTTGGTTCGCATCTTATTGTTCTTTTTTTTAGTTTTTAAAAAATTGTGGCAAAATACACAACAAAATTTACCATTTTAACCATTTTTAAGTGTACACTTCAGTGGCATTAAGTACATTCACATTGTTGTGCAACCATCACCACCATTCTTCTCTAGAACTCTTTTTCATCTTCCCCAACTGAAACTTTGTATCCATTAAACACTAACTCCCCATTTCCTCCTCCCCCCAGCCCCAGGCAACGACCATTCTACCTTCTGTCTCTATAAATCTGACTACTCATAGAAGGGCCTCATGCAAGTGGAATCATACAGTATTTGTCGTTTTGTGACTGGCTTATTTCACTTAGCATAATGTTTTCAAGGTTTATCCATGTGGTAGCATGTGTCAGAATTTCCTTCCTTTTTAAGGCTCAGTAATACTCCGTTGGATGGATATACCACAGTGTGTTTATCCATTCATCCATCCATGGACACTTGGGTTGCTTCTACCTTTGACTATTGTGAATAATACTGCTATGAACGTGGGTGTGCAAAGACTAGTTCAAGTGTGTATTGCCAGTTTGTTTTTCAAAAGTTTGTGCTAGTTTATTTTCCATCATTAGCATGACACCTTTTTCTCACTACCTTTACCAATACAGATATTGTCATTAAAAAAAAAATCTGTGCCAATGAGACACAAAATGTGCTACTTTGCGTTTCCTGTTAGTGATGCTGAATACTTCTCAGTTGTTTATTCCTCATCTGGAATTTTCTGTGAATTATTGTTCCCCCAGACTGCTCCAAATGCAATTTTCTGGGCTACGTCAGTTGGACAGACTGATTTCTTCCCTGGCCTTTGAGACAAATCATAGCATAAGGAAAAGAAGTTTATTTTTGACTATACATTTCCTAGACACTCGTGTAGCACCAAACCCTAAAACTCCCAATAATTTCCTCTTGCCCTTTTGATCTGTACCCCTCCACTTCTCTGCAGATGATGGGTCATCTCACCTTTTGGAGGTGAGTGAGGGGCCAGGTTGGATGTTGGAAATGTCGTTAGAAGGAGAATGGGTGATTCTGAGGGTTTGAAAGAACTTTAAAGTTATCTGTGCCTTGCTGCGTTGGTACTTTACATGCCCACATAGGAGCCATGAGTTCTACTGGGAAAAGCACAGACCTCAAAGCTCCGTCTCCTGTTTATTAGCTGTGTGACCTTGGGCAAGTCACTTAGCCTCTCTGAGCCTCAGTTTCCTCACCTTAAAATGACTTAGATTAACCAGCGGTTGCCAACCTTTCATGGCCTCTTATTTACCTTCCTCTGCTGTCACTATTAGACCCCCTATTTTTAAAGATTTTGATCTTTAGCATTTATTAATCGATTTCTTGGGCACCCTTTTCACATGGGTTGTTTCTGCTAGGCTTTGTGAAATACTGAAAACAGTTCAAAGACCCCACCCTTACCACCATCCGAGGCCTGTAGGTGTCTGGGGACCCCTGCAGTTAAAAGTTAGGCAAGAGGAGACGAGATGATCCTTCAGTTTTCCAATCGCCTTTATATCAGGTGTTGAATTTTATATTTACCAGAACCTGGAAGGTATGCAGGGCAGGTGTCTTTCCAGTCTCAGAAAACAGAGATTCTCAGAGGTTCAGAGGTTTGCTCAAGGTCACACAAAACAGTGACATTGAGACAAGAGACTGGCTCTCGCTGGTGTCCCTTTCCTCGACAAGGTAGCTGCCCTGTAGACTTCTGCACGTGTCCACGCGCCAAGGACTCCTAGCCACCCGCACCTGCCTGGCACCGGCAGACACTCACCCAGGAGTGGCCCCCGCGTTCTCACCTTTCCCCCTCGCCCCCAGGTACGTGGTCATCTCCCGGGAGGAGAGGGAGCAGAACCTGCTGGCGTTCCAGCACAGCGAGCGCATCTACTTCCGGGCCTGCAGGGACATCCGGCCCGGGGAGCGGCTGCGGGTCTGGTACAGCGAGGACTATATGAAGCGCCTGCACAGCATGTCCCAGGAAACCATCCACCGCAATCTGGCCAGAGGTGAGTGCCCACACTCGAAATGCTTCTCTAGAGTTCCTAAGACAACCGATGGGAAATACAGCACGCCAGCAAGGGGGAGACCCAGAGGGACTCGGGGAAGGATGCTCTAGGTCTGAGCAGCAGCTCTGGGATGGGCCATGGCCAACCCAGTAAGTTCTCATCCCTCAGAAATGGTCTCAGAAACCCCGTTACGGACATTTCACAGTCTGAGGGAGGAAGACAAGTCCCCAAAGCCACGCACGTAAGTTTAATCAAAATGGATCCTGATTCCCCAACTCAAATTGATGGGAAGATGTTATAAACTGTCTCCACCTCAATAATAATGGCAATCATAGGTAACACTCATTAAGTACTTAATTTGTGCTAAGCAGGTTTTCTACAGTGTCCCATGTGATCATCACAACGGTAGAGCCTACCCCATAAGTGTGCTGTGAGAATTGGGTGGGGTGACATACGTACCACATTTAGAACAATGTCTGCCTTGATCATTGTGAGCCCTCAGTGTAAACTTTTAATACTAATGATCCCATGTGGATTATTACCCCCATCTTACAAATGTGGAAACTGAGCATCAGATAAACCACTCAGGGTCACATGGCTGGGAAGGGCAGAGCTGGGTTTCTGACCCACATTGTTTGAGTCCAGGGTCTAAGCTCTAACCTACAGTGTTACGCAGACAGACAGACAAAACTAGTCTCTTCCCTGCTTCCTCCTGGTCTCATTACTGGCAGTCCTAATGACATGTTGTGACAAAGCAATGTGTATTAGGAGAAGGTTGGAGGGAGGTGGGAAGGTTACCTTAGGTTTGGGTGGTGGCCTGGTGGGTGGGTGTCCATCCAGGCTCCATTTAAATGAGACATTTGCAAGTGGTTTAAAATACTCCCCAACCCCCAGCCCTTTGCCTCTTCACTCCATCCTCAGTCTGGCCAGGGCAAACTGGTGAGTCCAGGTCTTTCTTTCAGTGGGACCTTCCTGCACTAAAACCAGCATCCAAAGACCCAGAGTCCATCTGGTCCCAAGAACCCAGGCTATACCCAAGCCCCACCATATCATGTTCCTGGCTGACCTACTTATTGGAAATAAAGCTTCATCTGGAATATGAGTGGAGAAGATGAAAGGGGGTGGGAGTGACCCATTGAAATCAAGGTATCTGTAAAAACAAAACAGAACAAAGCAGGTGGTCGACACTGGGTACACAGCTGCTGCCTGACTTGGTAAAAGGTATCTGGAGATTGGATGGGCAGTGAGAGGAGGCCCGATAGACAAACTCATCTCCTGTCTTCTTCGGATGGGGTTTGGGCCCATGCTGATTTCACTTGGGAAGGCATGTTTCCATGATGAGATTGCAATGGTTTCCATTTGACCTCTGGAGATGCCTCGTGTAAAATTGTCTGATACATAGCAGGTGCTGAATAAATCTCTGTTGAATGGATAAAAGAAGAAATAAATGAAGACAGCCAAGAAGTCTGCAAAAGAGTCATACCACCAGAAGAAAAGGAAACCAAGAGAAGTCATGGCTGAGGATACAGGTTCCATCCCTTGGCCATGATCTTGAATTCTTCTGGATTTGTAATGTCCTTTTTTCCCAGTGTCTTCTCCAAAGCACTCAAGCTGCGTCATCCTCAGAGAGCCCTGAGACCCAAGGGGAATGCTCAGAGAAGGGAGTGAGCTTTCAGGAGTGGTTCGAAGGAGGCGTGGCAGAGAGACGTGAAACGGGATACATGGAGACATGTGAAGATGCAGGAGGAAGGCGTGTCTATTCCCAGCCAGGCTGAGCAGTAGGAAACAGAAAGGAAGCTGAAAACCACTGCGGCGCAAGGCCAGAGCAGTGGGTGGCCTTGGTTGTAAAGCCCTTGGGAGCAGTCGTGGAGCTCAGTGGCCTTTAGACGTGTGTCTCTGTAGCCTGTAGCTTTGGCGGACTCTGGATAGGGTTAGTGGTATCCTAGATGGGCATGCCCATCCTGCTCTGGAAGGGGGATCCCTCAATCACTGAAAGTCTTACGTGGAAGGAGTTTGTTGTAATTGAAGGCTGGAGCCTTGATAAAGGCCAGAGTGTGAATTATTAGTCATTAAGTAGAGACATGAGTTGGAGCTGAGAGCTGCTTCCTGAAGAGAGTGTAAATTACTCCTTCGTGGTTATCTTTTAAGAATAGGTTGCCTCTAATGCTGTATTCAGAGAATTTATGTTATTTGATCGCCTTTGAGTCATTGATTTACTTTGTGGTGTTTTCCCTTGTGGTTTATGGAGGCTTTGGAATCAATTTCATAATGCTTAAATGTTGTTTTTGGTCCATAGATTTTTCTGGAAGCCTTTGAGTTCAAAGAGGTCTCTCGCTCATCCTAGGAAATTTGAATGACCTTGTCTTTGAGCAGAGAGGCATGAGGAATCCCTGGTGCTTTGTAGCCTTGAACTCCCAACATCCTCAGCTGTTTGCTGCCTGATTGGTCCAGAAAGTGAAAGGGTGGCCCTTGATGTTTGGAGATTCTAAATGGGCAAGTGTCATATCTGGTCTATAATACAAACATATTGCATTTTTTTAGAAGTTCTCTTCATCTCCAGGAGCTGCCTGAGTTTCAGGAGCCTTGGAGATGAGGTCGATTCTTAAGCATTCATGTGAGCACAGAAAAGGGGCATCCTGAATAGGTTACTCCCTTTTGTGCTGTCACCTGGAGGAAACCTGGAGTCACACACAGGCCAGGGCACAGCACCCCATGCCAGCTGTGGGAAGCGAAGCTCGGTCACTCTGGAACATCTGGATTGCACATGGAGATCCCGTGGCCTTCACTCGGAGGCCTTTAGCAAACGCAGCTATCAGGAGCCTAATTACGACATACACTCAGGTCAACTCGTTGCTCAGAGTCACATCTCCCAGGACCCTACCCCTGAGCTGGGAAGCCTTTGAGATTTCTGAGCTCCTCAGGCTGCCGTCAGGACCTTCTGAGGGTCCCCCTAAGCACTGTCCTCTTAGGCAGCATCTGCACTTCCGTAGCAATTTATGAAACTGTGTCAGCCATTTTAAAGAATCAGGCTGAAATAATTTATTGTTGGGGAGCTCACCAAGGTCTTTGAAGTCATTCACAAGATAGAAAGAAATAGAAAAGGGAAGGCCCTTTGCATTTTCAGGTGAGGAAACACAGCTATATTTTGAGAATGCTTTGGGTAAGCGTGGTCATGCTGTTCTGTATCTTGTTGGAGGCTGCCATCTTGATGCCCGTAGCAACTGTAGGTACCCCTGCCTTGGTCATCAGTGAGAACCAGAGAGATTCAGGTCATGCTTTCCCACGTAGTCCTCATCTTCTGATTATGGGGAGAACTCGAAAGGACGGTTGCTGTAATGCGGGCTCTCTGGAGACGAAGGAGTGGGACTCGTGGTTTGTGTGTACCTTTTACCAAGTCGAAGCAGCCACCTTGTAATTGCTGGGACTAGAGGAGAAGCCTGGAGGGTTGGGGAATCCATATCACTTAGCTCTGATTTGATCAGTTTGATCTGGTGGGGTGTCATCTTCTAGGATGATCAGATGGCACGTACCTGTGAAAGAACTTCCAACACCCCTCCCCTGTAGCATTCTCTCAACTTATGATTGTAGAGCTTGTATACATAAAGCTCCATTGAAATGGTCTCTTTAAAAAGAGTTCTTCCCACTTTTTGGGGGCCTCTGACTCTAGACCCCATGAGCCACTGAGTGATGTCTCTCCCTTTTCATCACACCTGCCCCACAAAGCCAGCCCCAGAGGGATGTGTCAAGCGACTTCCTAACGGGAGGCCTGGCTTGTTTTCTGTTGGTTTCTCCGCCTCGGGGCTTTTCCCCACTTCCTCACACCTGGTTTTCCTTCCTAGGAGAGAAGAGGTTGCAGAGGGAGAAGTCTGAGCAGGCTCTGGATAACCCAGAAGACCTGAGGGGTCCCATTCAGCTCCCTGTGTTGAGACAGGGCAAAAGTCCCTATAAGCGTGGCTTCGACGAGGGGGACGTGCACCCCCAGGCCAAGAAGAAGAAAATTGACCTCATTTTCAAGGATGTGCTGGAGGCCTCACTGGAATCTGCGAAGGTAGAAGCCCACCAGCTGGCTCTGAGCACCTCGCTGGTCATCAGGAAAGTCCCCAAGTACCCGGATGACGCCTACAGTCGGTGTGCAATGACCGTGTCGCATGGCGTGCCGAATGTCAGCCGGACCCAGGGGGAGGGGGACTGGAAGGCCCCCCAGGGGGCTTCCAAGGAGCCAGGCCCACTGGAGGATGAAGAAGAGGAGCCTTCGTCATTCAAGGCCGACAGTCCCGCCGAGGCCTCCCTTGCCTCCGACCCTCATGAGCTTCCCACCACCTCCTTCTGCCCTAACTGTATTCGCCTAAAGAAGAAGGTCCGAGAACTCCAGGCAGAGCTAGACATGCTTAAGTCTGGGAAGCTGCCTGAGCCCCCCGTTTTGCCAGCGCAGGTATTGGAGCTCCCAGAGTTCTCAGACCCTGCAGGTAAGTTGGTGTGGATGGGATTGCTGTCAGAGGGACGAGCACGAGATTGCTGTCGGTGGGCAGAATGGAGGGTGGCCAAGCACTCTCGGTGGGAGCCTCCTGCGGGGAGACCTGAGGCGTGTAAGGCGGAGGTGGGCTCCGGCCACAGCCCACGCCCTCCGGCGCCTCTGACAGGCGGTTGCAGCTCCGGTGGGGTGCTTACGACTTGCTCTTGTATCCTCCTCGTCAATAAAGGAAATTCCGCTGCAGGAGGGGTGTGCGCTGTGTTCTTGACCCGTTGCCTTTCTCTGGTGGTCCTGATGGTGTCTTACCCCAAAGCCCAACTTCTAAACCCAATCTTTTCTCTTCCCCCAGTCTCCAGTAGGTGTCCTGTGGGGGAGAGCTCCCTGCCTTCCCGAACTCAGTCCGCGAACACAGCCTCATTCTTCTGTCCCCAAATTGCTGTTCTGCCACACGTGGTCCTAGCTCCCCTGCCTGGAGTTTTAGGATGGGGTACGGGGCCTTTAGCTGCATTCCTTTGCCCTTTTCTGTGGCTGCCTGGATCTTCTGGAGTTGGTTGACAACGAGGAAGCTTTTTCAGTGCACATCAGCAGATGAGTTAGAGTATTTACATAGCACTTCCTATTTTAACCACATCCCTGAGCTCAGAAGGAGGTGTTTCAGATGTTCAAGGCACGCATTTTAACTATCTGCATTCTGATTCTGAAATAACCTGGGGCCGTGTCGAAGCTGCATCCGTTCCAGGGCAGCCCGCCTCCTCTGACCGCATTCATGGTGGGACAAACGCGTCCCACCCACATCCTTGCTCTGTGATTTTGCAATGTTGGATGTGCTTTGTTCCTCCATCAGATCTGCTCTCCTGGTTGTGTTCAGTTGACATGGAACATACAAGTTCCTCGAGCACCCACTAGTGGAGGGTGGGGGCAGGTAGCCTGGAGCATGGCGGTCACCATGGGTCATCCACAAAGAGGAAAAGTCACACACTCTTGTTGAGTGTGTGACTAGTTCTGGGCTGGGATTCAGTGTGTTGTAGGAATTGGCTTCTGTTTCACATGACCTACCTTTCGGGCAGTATTTCCTGTTCCTTTTGGAAAAGTCTGTTTTTTTCCACCAGGTGTAAATGTTTCTTTCCCATTTGTCTTGCAGCCTCAGAGAGCATGGTCTCTGGCCCCGCCATCATGGAGGATGATGACCAGGAGGTCGATTCGGCAGACGAATCTGTCTCCAACGATATGACGACCGCCACCGATGAGCCCTCCAAGCTGTCGTCCGCCACGGGCCGCCGCATCCGGCGCTTTAAGCAGGAGTGGCTGAAGAAGTTCTGGTTCCTGCGGTACTCCCCGACCCTCAACGAGATGTGGTGCCACGTCTGCCGCCAGTACACGGTGCAGTCCTCCCGCACCTCAGCCTTCATCATCGGCTCCAAGCAGTTCAAGATCCACACCATCAAGCTCCACAGCCAGAGCAACCTTCACAAGAAGTGCCTGCAGCTCTACAAGCTCCGCATGCACCCCGAGAAGACGGAGGAGATGTGCCGCAACATGACCCTGCTCTTCAACACCGCCTACCACCTGGCCCTCGAGGGCAGGCCCTACCTGCACTTCCGGCCGCTGGCCGAGCTGCTGCGCAAGTGCGAGCTCAAGGTGGTGGACCAGTACATGAACGAGGGAGACTGCCAGATCCTCATCCATCACATCGCCCGGGCCCTGCGGGAAGACCTGGTGGAGCGCATCCGCCAGTCACCCTGCCTCAGCATCATCCTCGATGGGCAGAGCGACGACCTGCTGGCCGACACGGTAGCCGTCTACGTCCAGTACACCAGCAGCGACGGGCCCCCGGCCACGGAGTTCCTGTCCCTGCAGGAGCTGGGCTTCTCCAGCACAGAGAGCTATCTCCAGGCCCTTGACCGGGCCTTTTCTGCCTTGGGCATCCGGTTGCAGGATGAGAAGCCGACCGTTGGCTTGGGCGTAGACGGGGCCAACATCACCGCCAGCCTGCGCGCCAGCATGTTCATGACGATCCGCAAGACGCTGCCCTGGCTGCTCTGCCTGCCCTTCATGGTGCACCGGCCCCACCTGGAGGTCCTGGATGCCATCAGCGGGAAGGAGCTCCCCTGCCTGGAGGAGCTGGAGAACAATCTGAAACAGCTGCTGAGTTTCTACCGCTATTCGCCGCGCCTCATGTGCGAGCTGCGCTCCACGGCCTCCACCCTCTGCGAGGAGACGGAGTTCCTGGGGGACATCCGGGCCGTGAGGTGGATCATCGGAGAGCAGAACGTCCTCAATGCGCTCATCAAGGACTACCTGGAGGTGGTGGCCCACCTCAAGGACGTCAGCAGCCAGACCCAGCGGGCGGACGCCTCGGCCATCGCGCTGGCCCTGCTGCAGTTCCTCATGGACTACCAGTCCATCAAGCTCATCTACTTCCTTCTGGACGTGACCGCCGTGCTCTCACGCCTGGCCTACGTCTTCCAGGGCGAGTACCTCCTGGTGTCCCAGGTGGACGACAAGATCGAGGAGGCCATCCAGGAGATCAGCCGGCTGGCCGATTCCCCGGGGGAGTACCTGCAGGAGTTCGAGGAGAACTTCCGAGAGAGCTTCAACGGGATCGCGATGAAGAACCTCAGGGTGGCTGAAGCCAAGTTCCAGTCCATCAGGGAGAAGATCTGCCAGAAGACCCAAGTGATCCTGGCTCAGAGGTTCGACTCCCGCAGCCGGATCTTCGTGAAGGCCTGCCAGGTGTTCGACCTGGCCTCCTGGCCCAGGAACAGCGAGGAGCTCATGAGCTACGGCAAGGAGGATATGGTTCAGATATTTGATCACCTGGAGGCCATCCCGACCTTTTCCCGGGATGTCTGTAGGGAAGGGCTGGACCCCCGGGGTAGTCTGTTGATGGAGTGGCGGGAACTCAAGGCTGATTACTATACCAAAAATGGCTTCAAAGACCTCATCGGCCACATTTGCAAGTACAAACAGAGGTTTCCGCTCTTGAACAAGATCATCCAGGTCCTCAAAGTCCTCCCCACTTCCACCGCGTGCTGCGAGAAAGGCCGAAATGCCCTACAGCGAGTCCGCAAAAACCACCGCTCCCGCCTGACCCTGGAGCAGCTCAGCGACCTGTTGACAATCGCTGTCAACGGCCCGCCCATTGCCAACTTCGATGCCAAGCGAGCCCTGGACAGCTGGTTTGAGGAGAAGTCTGGCAACAGTTACACACTCTCCGCCGAGGTCCTCAGCAGAGTGTCTGCGCTGGAACAGAAGCCAGTCCTGCAGACGGTGGACCACGGAGCGGAGTTTTACCCGGATATTTAGGGGGCCGGCGTCACAGAGTTCACCAAGCTGTTGAATATTTTTTTAATCTATACTCATAAGCTTTGATATATTATATAAATATATATATTATATTATATATATATATATAAACCCACACTGAAAATTTTTAAAAACCAAGGTGACACGTCCACCAGAAGCTACTGGGAGCTTTCAGAAAGGAATAATGTCGGAAACTGACTCTTGTCTACAAAATTTGGCAGCTGCAACATATGTGGCAACTCATTTTCACTCACAGAAGCATGTGCTGGGGCCACACGTGTTCCCACCCAACAGTCAACCAACAGCATAAGCTAAAATGACGGGTCTCTGTCATCACCTCTAGGTAGCTCGTTTTTGTTGATATTTTCATTTGGGGGTTGAGGGGTTCGGGTTTAGGTGTATGTTCTTGCCTTTTCTTTGCTTGTTTGGTTTTCTGATGGGGGTTTCTTGGGCTCTTCGTTGCCATGCTGGTCCAGCTGAGTCAGATCTCTGATTTTGGATAGGGTGGGTGGTGTATCTGGATTGGGGTGTTTGACTTTCTTCCTCTCCCATCTGACTTCAGCTTGAGAGATTTTTATTCATTTCCTGACGAGTGTTCCTTCACTGTCTCAGAAACAAAGTGTCAGTCAAACTGTGACGCCCACCTCTCCCCTCCTCTGTCACCTCTCCCGTCCCTGGGTTATTGATTCCCTCCTTCCAGCCCCTGGATCCTAAAGATCTCACCTGTTATACTGAAGGCAAAATTGCCTTATAACTGAGCTTGAAATCCTAGAGATGGGAGAGGGGGTAAGCTTTTTGCATTCCTGTTTTCACATGGTGTGGGATAAAATAGTATAATTCCATTCAGATCCAGGGCTGGGGGGGGAAATGAAGAGCCAAGAAGTCCAGACCCCAAGAGGGCAGCGATTTTTGGCTAAAAACAAGTAAAATGAAAAGTCTATATTCAATTTACATGAATTATTTATACTCTGTCTTTATAATCATATAATGTGTTGGGGGTATTTTTGTTTTCCTTTAATAATCGAGAGATGCCTGCTATAGTTCAGTGGCAGGAGATGTCAATGCAAGTCATGCCCTGGGTCACGCGTGACTCCAATGAGAGTCTCTAGAGATTGGGTCTTTCTTTTGCAACAGGCTGGTAAGAAGCACAGCCTGGCAGGAAGGCAGGGGGAGACCGAGTAATTCACCTATGCCTGTGAACACTTCCTTTTTTGAACAGGGTAGAGATGTCCTAAAGAAAAGGCAGAAACAAGAGGTAAGACAGGACTCTCAAGGCATCAGCCTACACACACACACACACACACACACACACACACACACAGAACCACGATATAAGCTTTAGAAATAGCCACTTGCCTACTCCCTGGGGCAAGGAGTGGTTTAAGCTAGAGGAGTCTGATCAATACTCTTTCATTCATTTAACTACCAGTATACCTCGCAAGGGAGTTTTAAAAAAAAATGTGCGTGCGCTGTTAAAAACTTCTGTTCATATTTCCACGTCTGACTTATGCATATTTGATATGCAGAGATCCTGTATCGTGGGTGCAGGTCATTTTGGGGGGGGGGAGGAAGATCTGTACTGTCCGTGGTCCGTGCTGTTGGGAGCCACCCCTCTCAGTTGGCAGAGGGTGGGCAAAGGATGGTTGATGTGATCTGGCCACAGGCAAGGCCCCAGTGTCCCCAACCTGCTTGGCTCAGACATTATAAAACTGTGGTGGCTTCCTTCCTTCTTGGTTTATCTTGTCTCTGAGGCCTCACGCCACCGTTGAGAACCGTAGTGGAAATGTCATCAACACTGAACATGTCACCCCCCCTTCCTGTCCTGCCAGTCCCTTCACCCCCCACAGATTCCTTCCCCCACCCCCATGGTCTTGGTGCTAAGATAACTTTAGAATCATTGCTGCTAGTCAATAGCTTTTCATTATATAAATATATTATATATATTATATATTATTTTTGAAACTTTTTTGTTTGTTTTCAACAGTGATGTAGCATGTTACAAAACAAAAAAAAACTGGTTTTCTCTGACTTTCCCACTGCCAGGCCTCATATGCTGCCTTCTTCAACAAATCAATGCACCCCTGCCTGGTGACACTCACCCCCTGCCCCCTCCCCAGTCGCACATACTCCCCGCCCTCCTCTGAACAAGGAGAGAGTTTGCCGGAACTAGCAAGGAAAGACCCGAAGCCCTTTCTGATGCTTTGAAATTCCCAGCCTCGTTCCATTTCCCCACTTTAAGGCGATGTCCCTCTCCCTCCGGCTCCTCCCATCCGGGACGGTAACTGTGGTCAAGTGAGAGGCTGTTGCCAGCACGAGGTTCCACCTTTCCGTCCCCAGCTTCCTCTCCACCACACACACAGACCACTGTCTGTGGGCGCTTTCTTGGAACATCACACAGACTAAGATGGGCTGAGGGCAGAGAGGGCTGGTAAGGTGGGCCTCGGTGGGGGCCAGAAACAGTGGGTTGGGATCCTTTCTTCTAGCCACCAGTTGCCTTACTCCTTCTCGTTCCTCCCTCTGCTCCTCCCCACCCACTACATTGGGAGTCATCCCCTGGACCACTCGTTTGAAAACCAGGAAGGGAGAATCATTGATGTCTGCCTGAGCACCTAGTCGGGGCTGCAATGGTTTCCTCGCAAGAGGGTATGGCCAAAATTAGCTCAAATTTTTATGCAGAGCAGGAAAATAATCTTTCGGGCCAATGCCAGCGTGTACCCTGTATCTCCTGAGAGAGCTGGGAGCTGGTGACCTGCCTCTGGGCTAGAAGCACGAGCAGCTGCCGGCAGCGTGTTGCTGCACGTGGTCACCTGCTGAGCCAGGCTCCAGACCTCCGGGAGGATGAGCTCTCTGGCGGGTCTAGAAGTTTGGCAAAGCGCCTCCGAAACTCGGGGTGCTCGTGACTTCTGCTGAATTCAGCCAGGCTTGGGCCGTGTCACACACGCTGAAGGCCACTTTGCCTTGGGACAGGGAGTAACCAGGGGACAATTTGGGTGACACACCACTGCAATTTACACAGGGTCTTTTCTCAGCCTGGATGCTCCCAGGAGGCTCCATGCTTCTATCCTGTGAATGCTGCATGTGATTACCCGTGGTTTCTATCATAGGCGTTTCCACTCTTCTGCCCTCTTGAGAAGGACTCTTGGGTTGATGGGACCCTGGGGGTCCAGCCCAGGGAACCACATGCTTGGCTGGCCTAACCTCCCTTTGATGGGTATAGAAAGCTGTGGGTGGGCGGTCCTTGCATCCTAAATGTGGTCGCTTCAGGCGTGACTCAGCCCCTGGCTTGGGAGTGACAACCACTGGCTTAGAATGAAATGTTTGCATCTCTGGGGTTGAGAGTTATCCTAATCGGGCTGGCTGATTAGTGACTTTCTTCGGTTCCTGGAGGAGGTGGGAAGTGAGATCAGATTAGTGGCCAATTGTGCCAAGCAGATACACCGCAGACCCTGGGAGCCAGCAGCCCCTGTGATTAAAATGGTCTGCTTCTCCTCGATGGAGGAGAAAAAGACCCATTGCCATCTAGTATCTGTGAAACCCAAGGACAGCCCAGCCCCGTCTGCGACTCTTACCATGTCAGAATCCCCCAGTTTGGCTGGCCTGGTTGAATGCCCGGGTCCAGGCATCCGGAACACCAGCTTTCTTTTTTTGATGACTGCCTGCAACATCCTGTCATGCTGGGCAGATCCTCCTTTCCTCATCCTCGCTTGAGAATGAGCGCAATCTGCGGTTCCAGGATCCCTCCATGGCCGGGGTCAGTGCTGGGCCCTGAATCAGGGGCAGGTGGGGGACGTGGCCCCAGCCCCTGCTGTGTGTTTTCATGTTGAGTTGTCTTGCTGAACTCCCTGTTCTTGACTTGCTTATATCAACCCTTTAATTCGGAGAAAGGACCTTGTCATTATTTAAGGTAATGTTGAAATATTTTCCATTTGTTTGGAAGTGATACCAAGAAGAGAAAGGGGAAAGCGTGTTGAATGCCGAACATGGTCGTGGAGAGCCTGAAACGGGCTACAGACTGGGCCCGGCCTGGGCTGTGAGGCTGGCATCCTTCTAGCTGTTTACCTGGAGCCTCCTGGGGTCCAGAAGGTGGCTAGGGTTGAAATAGAAGTTCTCTTCTAGATTCCTCCCCTGTCATTTTTCCTCCCACCCCCTCGAGGAACAGGACTTCCTCATCTAGAGCAGCTTTGGGCTCACGGTCTGGGTTGATTTCCAAGCAGAATTTTGCTTTTTCTTGGTCCCTACAGCCCGTTTGGGCAGAAGGCTCCAGTCCCACTGGACCTGGCCCCTTCACGCGGCAGGCCCAGCCAGGCCAGCCTGGGATGGCCGAAACCAGGGCCAGTCCTCCATAGTCAAGAGGGTGAGTTTGGGACAGTCCCATTCCAGACACTGGCCTCCTGGGGGAGCCGGTGCTGGGTCATGGCTTCTAGTCTGGTTTCCTCTCACCTTGAGGAGGAAAGATTGTGTCAAAAGACACACAGGGTCTTTCTCCTAATTTTCACTCACTTGGTCTCTGTTGACAGGGTGCTTTAGCTGGGTGGATGGAGCTGTGATGTTTTAAGGAGCCTTTGAGGTGATCTTTGTGTGTTAGCCAGAGGGAGAAAAAGTGCCCTTTTGGGAGGAAAATGGTACGACCCTCCTCTTCCATCTGGCTCCCCCCTCCCCATCCCTCCAAGTGGTATCGCCCTGGAACTAACCTATGCAATCCCATCTCCCTAGGAGAGTGCATGGCAGCAGGGGTATGTGCAGTGTATAACACAAACGCTACAGCATATATATTGTATATATGGACATATACAGTACGTATACACACAGAGTAAGAGAGAAATCACGTCTATATATCTATAAATAATATCCTATATATTTATACATTTCTATGTTTTAAATAGATATAAAAATAGAGTCTATAGAGAGCTGGGAGAGCAACGGGAAAGCCTGTCGCTGTGTCGTGCGAAGAGGGAGGAGGCAGAGCCTTTTCACGGGGAGATGGGGGCTAAGCAGGCGGGGTTTGCTGGGAACGGGGCCTCCC